GTCCCCCCGGATGCCAAGAGCTGAGAAACCTCCGGCTGCATCGTTTCAAGATGTTGAGCGTCTGGGATCCAGGCCTCAACACTCGATCCTCGCGGACCTCTCCTGGAGCGCGCCCTGGCCATGCTTTCAAGGCGAATCCGGCCGTGGCGACGAGGAGGCCCAGGAACTACCCCAGATGCTCCAAAACGCGAACCTCGTTTTCAAGACGCTGGATGTCTGGGTCTGCCTCAGGCGCTACCGGCCGAGGCCGGGGCATCCCAGACTCAGGGGGCCCTCCCACGCAGGGCCTGGGCAGCCGCCGGGTGCGGAGGTGCTCCCGCCCAGCCCGCCGTCGCCCCAGCTGCGCTCCTCCGAGGCCCGCCTGGCGTGGAGACTCCACTCTGGGCCGGCAGAAGGGAAGGCGGCAGAGGCAGACACCTGCGGAGGCCCGCGCCCCAATCCAGGCAATCGTCCGCCGCTGCAGTGGAGGCCAGGTCTGCAAGAGACCTCCCACGAGAAACCCAGCCCTGAGACCCCGGGGCGCCCATGGATGCTTGGCGTGGGAACGTCGCGCTCTCCATCGCAAAGACATCGAAACCCTGGGCACCCTGGAGGCAAGCAGGGTGTTTCGTGGCATGGGTCTCCACTGTACCTTCACGTCGGGCTTGTCCCCCTACAGGGGCACTTTGGACGAAAAACAAAAAAAGAGTAACAAACATAACCGACAATGCTCAAACATTGTGAAACAATCGTCCCCAGACTATTTTTAACTCTTTTCGAATACTCGTCCTGTAGAGGGGCAGGCCTGACTTAACTGTACCTGCGCTCGGGGGCGGCGGTGAGCTGCTCCGCGGCGGCGCCTGCGCTCGCGGCCGGCGAGCGCAGCCCAGACATGCGATGCCCTCGTTGTAGCAACGACGCTGCTGCAGTGCGCGGTCCCTGGAAGTCCCCACCCAGGAGGAGGGGGAGCTGGATGAGAAGGAGGAGGAGGAGGCGAATGCGGAGGAGGAGGAGGCGAATGCGGAGGAGGAGGAGGAGGAGGAGGAGGAGGAGGAGGCCTTTCCCCGGGAGCGGCTTGTCACTCTGAGTAGCGTTCCGACGGCCCTGGGGGGCGAGGGCCTCCGGAGGCCGAGAACTACGAAGCACCGCCCGTCCTGGTCTTTCCACGGCGCGAGCATGTCTGGGAGCGTCGGCTGCAGCCCCCGCCGCGCACCCGGCGCAGCCAGCGGACGGCGGCCGCGGCGCGCTGCTCCGCAACCGCAGCCGCGCACTCGCTCCACGCAGCGGCTGACCCTCATTCCTCCCTGGCGCGCGGAGCGCGCCAGGGGGGCGGCCGCCGGAGGCGCCGCCATCGGCGGTTCAAAGACGTGACCCTGAGGCATGGTCGGACGAGGGCGATGTCATGACAGGATTGGCTGACGTTCCAGAATATCTGGCGGCCCTCGTTTCTGCAGGCCCGTGTAGAACATCCGGGAATCTTGGGAACCCTGGCGATCTTGGAACGTATCGTTGTCATGACCTCTGGCTCCTCTGAGATGGGGACCTGGATGGGAAGGGATCCAAGGGTGAATTGATATTGTCTGAGGCACCTCGTCCTTAGGGCCCCCATCCATCAGGACCCCATTTTCGAACCACCTATGCCAGGGGCGCCTGGCGTTAGGTCGGGCATGTCCTCCTACAGGCGTATTTTGATTTTGGAGGGCAAATCAGAAATAGCCAGAAGATGCTCAACCATAGCAAAGCATAATTCTTAAAACATCGTCCCCATACTATTTTGCACTATTTCGGAATATTCCTCCTGTGGAGGGACGGGCCCGACGTAAGCCTGGCGCCGAGCCGCGGAGCCCGCGCAGGCCTCCGACGAGGCTTCTGCTCACGCCGGGGATCCTCTGACCCGGATCAGTGCAGAACCCTGCAGAATCCTGCACCCAAACCCGGGTCAACGCGAAGGATCCATGCAGGATCCTGCAGGATCCTGCGCCCAGACCCTGGTCAGTGCGCCCCGGGGCCCTGCAGGATCCGGCGCTCTGGCTGACCCCCCGTTGGCAGGGACCCCCGTCCCTTGAGCCCCGTCTCGCGCCGCCTTCTCTTCTCCGGCATGGGTGCCCCGACGACGCCGGCGCGCGCTCCAGGCATCCTGGAGCTGCTGGCCCGTGGTCGGCGAGCAGCCCCCGCGGGGCGGGCGGGGGCAGCGCGGGGCCAGCGGGCGGCGCGTGTCCTGGGGCACACCGTGGCTACCGGCCCGGGCCTATAGCCTCAGGTCGGGCGTGTCCCCGCACAGGCGGATGTTGGGCGAAAACTAGAAAAGAGTCCAACAATAAACAAACATTGTCAGACACTAGTCGAAACATCGTCCCCAGACTATGTTGTAAAGCACTTTCGAATATTCCTCCTGGAGAGGGACATGCCCGACTTAACTATAGCCCTCGCAGAGGCTCAGGAGCGGTGTGCACACCTCCTGGCAAAGCCAGGAGGGCGTATTCTAGAATAAGAAAGAACGCCATGACCATAACGCATATCGGAGAAGGAACGTATATCGAAGAAGAAAACGTATATCGAATAAGTAAAAACGCCATCCTGGGCCCAGGAGCAACATACATCGAAGAAGAACAGACGCCATAAACAGAACCCCATTGGCGCTCCGCGCCGATTTCTTGGATCTGCGCTCGACCTCCCTCCCTGGCGCGCGGAGCGCGCCAGGGGCGGCGCCGGTGGCGCCGTCGGGGGGGCCTAACGCAGATCCAAGAAATCGACGCGCAGCGCCAAAAGGTTATGTGTACGCATGGCGCATTTCCTTCTTATTATGATTCTCCTTATGTTTCTTTTTTCCTCTTCAATCTACGTTGCTCCTAGGCCCAGGATGGGCCAGGACTGGGGCAGCGGGCACGTGCAGATCCCGTCGCCCTATGTCCCCCCGGCGCGGCCGCCCAGTGCCCCACCGCGGGCGGGCGCCCTGGGCAGCCGGGGGAGCTCGGCGGCTGAGGCCAGGCGTGGAGGCTCCACTCGGGGGGCCCCAGCGGTGCAGGCCCGCGCTCCGCGAGCCCCAGCGGGGCCTGGCCCGGCGCGTGCAGGGGGCCGGCGGGCGACGCGTGCCCCCCCAGCGCGGCCGCCTGACGCTCCGCCGACGCCGCGGAGCGCTCCAGGAAGCCGGGGGAGGCCGCCCAGCGGTCCGCGGACCCCGGCGGCGCCTGCAGGACGCCCGCCGGCGACGCGTGCCCCCCGGGCGCGGCCGCCTGCCATCCCATGGGCGCCGTGGAGCGCTCCAGGGAGCTCGGGGAGGCCAGCCCGTGGTCCGCGAGCCCCAGCGGGGCCTGACCCGGGGCGGGCGCGGCCGCCCGATATCCCATCGCCGCCGCGGAGCGCTCCAGGAAGCCGGGGGAGGTTGCCCAGCGGTCCGCGAGCCCCAGCGGGGCCGCGCCTGGCGGAAGCTGGCCGGCGCGGGAGGGCACCACGTGCGGGCTCTGGTACCCCGCATGCGGAGCGGCCGCGGGCGAGATGCCGGGAGGCTGGGCGGCGTGGGCAGGCAGAGCGGCGAGGGGGGCCACCACGCTGCCGAGGTCCTGGAGCAGGTGGAGGAGCAGCGACTCCGCCGAGCGCCGCTCCTGCTCCGTCGCCTTGCTGCTCTCGCGGTTCTCCTCCACCATCGCCCCGAACGAGTTGATCCGCTGCTCCCATCTGCCCAGCACGTCCCGGAGCCCAGTGGCCTGGGCCTGGGCCTGTGCCTCCATGCGAACCCGGTCGCTCGCCAGCTCGTTCCTGGGGGGCAGGAACTGAGATACCGATGCCGCAGGGCCCCAGAGTATCCAGCCGTGGCGACGAGGGCCTCCACCAGGAGCCCAAACATCCGACGTCGCAATTTTTCCACACCGCGGCTCCCCAGAGGTCTGAACCCCTTGCTGGGGTTCGCTTTTCATCCCAAGTCGTTCTTCAACGGTCCCTGAGCCAGCGAGGGCCCCCACCGGCAGTTCGGGACGGTTCGGGCACCCACAGAACGCACTCGGCGAGGCTCGGCTGCACAGCTGCAAGAAAGCACCCCGAGGCTGGAAAGCCTCGGAGGGACGACGAACACGTAATCAGGAAAACACCTCGTCCAGCTGGAGGCTGAGGAGGCCCCAGGGGGCGTCGACATCGGTATGCAGAGGCCTCCTAAATCGGGTCCGAGCGCATGGGGTCGGAAAATCGCGCCGCATCGCCGATGCATCGGCGATGCTTCGGCGACTTCGGCGATGCATCGGCGGTGCGGCGGAATCCTCCGGCCCCACCTACCTCGGACCCCACCTGGGAATCCTCGTGTATCGGAAGCCGGGCGAGGGCTGCTAAATCCGTGGCTGCTAAAATCGACCTCCGGGAAGTTGTCCTCGTCCTTCCGGGAAGAAGCCCGCTGACTGCTTCGCGTGCCGCGCCTCACTCCGGGAAGTTGTGTTTTCCTTCCGGGAGGGCCGTTTCAGCAGCCACGGCTTCGTCAGCCCTCGCTCAGCTTCTGAGTGCATGTTCCTTCTCTTCCGAGCTCCCGAGGCCAGCGACGGCTGCGTCGAGGCGGCTCAGCCTCTGCTCCGCCTCCGGGCCCACAGCCCTGGCGGCGGCGGACGCCTCGCCGCAAGACTGGGCCAGCTCCTCCACGCGCCGGGCTCTGCCGGGCCCCCTCCGCCTGGGGGCGGCAGGGCGCCTGGGCGCTGCTCTTAGAGGCCTCCCAGATGGGGTCCGAGCACCTGGGGTCGTAGGATCGCGCCGCACCGCCGATGCATCGCCGACGCATCGCCGATGCATCGCCGGTGGCGGCGGTGCTTCGGCGACGCTGGCGTGGAGAAGATCGGGCTCCACATCGAGTCGCATCGCCGCTGCTGCATCGGCGATGCGGCGAGATCCTCCGACCCCTCCGACCCCGTCCAGAAGGCCCAGAGTCTAGAGCCCTGGGGACCCTCGGAGATTTCCGAGATCCGGCGGTTCTGAAATCTCTGAGATCGGTCCTTCTCAGAGCGTTCCAGAACGCCCCGCCCGACCTCGACTGGGCCCTGGGGCCGTCAAGAAAGGTACTTACTGGGAGTGAAAATGCGGTCCCTGGGAACAGGCTCAGACCTCTGGGGGGCACGCCGCGAAAAAAAAATCAAGCCCTGGCGAAAGACCCAACCATATGCAATTATTGTGAATACCGCGCTGTGGGTACCGACCGCTTTCGATGGAGCTCCTTTGGGGGCCACGGAACGTGTGAGGGGCGTGCCGATTTGGGTGCGGTGGTGCCACGCGGGCACTGCCACTGGATGAGGGGCCTGTTTTCCACCACCACCACCAAAAGTTGGATGGGGGAAGGAGGTGGAGGATGAGGAGGACGAAGAAGAAGAAGAAGAAGAAGAAGAGGACCCCTTCCCCTCCTACTGATGGTGGTGGTGGTGGTGGTGGTGGAAAACACGCCCACCACTGGAGTGTTCGGTGAAGCTCCCTATGGGGTCACGAAGCGCGTGACGGGCGAGCCGAGGCAGAAACCTGCGGAGGGCAGAGGCATTGTGGGAGGAGGGGGGAGGGAGGAGGAGGGAGGAGGGGGAGGGAGGAGGAGGGAGGAGGAGGAGGAGGAGGAGGAGGGAGGAGGGAGAGGAGGAGGAAGAAGAGGAGGAGGAGGAGGAGGAGGAGGAGGGAGGGAGGGAGGGAGGGGGAGGGACAAGCTAGGTGCGCTCGCGTCATATCTGACGTCCTACCCCTCCCTCCCATCCCTTACCATGGCGCTGATTTTCTCTATCCGCGGACGCGTGTCGTAGCGGACCTGTGGCTCCGCGCGCGCGTGCGTAGTGGGTGGTGGTGCACGTGCGTGCGTGCGTGCGTGTGTGCGTGGTTGTGTGGTGGTGGTGGTGGTGGTGGTGGTGGTGGTGGTGGTGGTGGTGGTGGTGGTGGTGGTGGTGGTGCTGGTGCTGGTGGTGGTGGTGGTGCTGGTGGTGGTGGTGTGGTGGTGGTGGTGGTGGTGGTGGTGGTGGTGGTGGTGGTGGTGGTGCGGCGCGGTGGTGGCGGGCGGATGGGCGCGCGAGAAAGAGGCCCGCGCTGGGGCGAGAACGCCATCCTGAACGACGGAGGCCAAACACCGATCCGAAAATGAGGCCTACGCTGCAGCGGGAGCACGATTCGGAACGATTCGGGAGCAGAAATGAGGCCGGCGCCTCAGCGAGTGCATCATTAAAAAAAAAAACGCAGGCGAAAACCCGTTTCCCGGGAATCCGGTGTGTAAAAAAACAGTACGCGGGGCGTTCGGCCCGAAAATGACGCCAGCGCCTCAGCGAGAGTCGTTTCCCGGGATTTCCCGGGCATCCTGTGTGTAAAAAACAGTACGCGGAGAATGCGCGGCCATCACCCGGACGCCATCAGGGGAAGAGGGAGAGTATTTTCATATTGAGTAATTGTGGAGGAGGGAGGAGGAGGGAGGAGGGGGGGGGAGGGGGAGGGGGAGGGGGAGGGGGAGGAGGGAGGAGGAGGAGGAGGAGGAGGAGGAGGAGGAGGAGGAGGAGGAGGAGGAGGAGGAGGAGGAGGAGAAGGAGGGGAGGAGGGGGAGAAGGAGGAGGAGGAGGAGGAGGAGGAGGACGAGGAGGAGGAGGAGGAGGAGGAGGAGGGAGGGGGAGGGAGGGGGCGGCGGAGGAGTAAGGAGTGAGTGAGACGCGGGGCGATGTCTCTTCAAAACGACGACCCAACACCACAGGACGGTTGGAAAAGAACATCGCGTCGGATGCCTTGGGCCCCCCCCCCTCCCTTCCCATCGGCAACTCCGAAGGGTGTAGTTTGCAAAGGGTGCAGTTTGCAACCGGCACCCTGGGTGGCACCCTGGGCGGGCGGGCGGGGACCTCGACAAAGCTCTCCGCCGCGCCCCGAGGAGGCCCGACGAGGACACCGCCGTGCCCCCCAGGCCCCAACGACGCAGATGGCAGACCCCCCCCCCGGCGTAACCGTGCCCTCTGCAGTCGCCGATGCCCCACCCGTCCTTCTCGCAGCGTGGCCCGCTCCCGAGGGGGGACGGCGGCCTGGCGTACGCGAGCCCTGCAGGATAGCTCGGCGCAGTGTCTCGCGTGGGCGCTCGCGCGCTCGTCCAGCTGGCTGACACGGTCGTCGAGCAGACCTGAGCGAACGAAGAACAGTAAAAAGCTAGAATCTCAAGTGGTCCCTGGAGGGAGAATACTCTGGGCAGGTCGGATCAGCGTCCTGATCCGATTCTGAAGCCCGCGCCCGGGAGTTCTGACATCTGGATGACCTCCCAGACGCGGGCTCCAGGACTCCCCCAAAAAGCTCCAGGAGCGCCCAAAGTAACTCGAAGTCGGTCCTAGAGATCTCGGGACGGGCCAGTATCGCTCCAAGATGACCGCAAGACGGCCCAAGAGGCCGCCAAGGCGGCCCCCAAGATGCCCCCACGACGCAAACATGTTTGATTGTCTATACAAGTTTGAATGATGTTATACATATCGTTATTTGTAAAATGCAATAGCCCGGGACGGCCTGAGAAGCCGTCGAGATCGCTCTAAGACAGTCCCAGCGGCCCCGAAGAGAGCCCCCCCAGACGGCCGACGAGGGCCCCAAGACGGCCCAATACCACCCCAATACGACCCGAAGACCCCCAAGAGGGTCTCCGAGGTCGCCAGCACGCCCCCACGAGCCCCCCAGAAGTCCCCCCAAAGCCCGAATTGGCCATCAAGAACCACCCCCAAGAGGCCCCCAGAAGCCCCAGATAGGACCCCAAGAGGCCGAAACAACACCCCAGGAGGCCCCCACTACGCCTCCGAGAGGCATCCGAAGAGAACCCGAGAGACATCAAACACGACCCAGGCACGGTGGCGGGATGCACTAACCGAGCTTCGGTGGGGGCGTGCTCCCTTGAATGTTGCCTTTCAACTATCCTGCCACCGCTTCTCCTCCAAGCGATGCTCCCGCGACAGCTCAGGGAAAAGGCCGCGACCCACTACCTTCTTAGCCCCCGCGGGCACACAAGCAAATGTCAGCTTAATAGAGTGAGTGAGTGAGATCCCCGCATTATGGTCTGCAGAGATTTCCAGCCAGCCTGTAGCGTTGGGTCCTCGTTTTGAAGACCCATTGCCCCGCGCATCCTCCTCTCCTTCTTCTCTCCTCTCCTCCCCTCTGCTCGCCTCCTCCCTCCTCCCCCTGCTCCTTTCCCCCATCACTGCATCTGCCCTCCACACCCAAAATTCCTACGTGATTACTTTGGTGTTGGATCCACGTTTTGAAGAAACAGCCCCCCGCGTCACTCCTCCTTCCTCCTCCCGCTCCTCCCTCTGCGCCTTGCTCCCATCCCTGCATCTGCCTTCCGCACATAAATTTCGGCACGCCGCTCACACGTTTCGTGGCCCTATCGAGCTCCACCGGAGGCCCCCGTGGCAAGGCCCACGTGCGGTTCCCCGCCCATATGTCGGCACGCTCCTCACGCGCTTCGTGGCCCCCTAGGGGTCTCCACCTAAAGCCCCAGTGGCACGGTCCACATGCGGTTCCACGCCCATGTCAGTCAGCACTCCTCCCACACGTTTCGGAAGCTCCACCGGCCCCGCCTGCAGGTTCCATCTATGCAGTCCCGCACCCTTGCCATCCCGCCCCTCACACGCCCAGTGGCCTCATAGGGAGCTCTACCGAAGGCCCCAGTGGCAGGTTGTATATGCGGTTCCCCATCAATTTCGGCACACATACACACCTACACACCTCACACGTTTCGTGGCCCCGAAGGGAGCTCCACCGACGGCCCCAGTGGCACGGTCCACATGCGGTTCCCCGCCCATATTTCGGCACACCCTTCACACGCTTCGTGGCCCCATGGGGGAGCTCCACCGACGGCCCCAGTGGCACGGTCCGCATGCGGTTCCCCGCCCATACTTCGGCACACCCCTCACACGCTTCGCGGCCCCATAGGGGAGCTCCACCGACGGCCCCAGTGGCACGGTCCACATGCGGTTCCCCGCCCCATATTTCGGCACACCCCTCACACGCTTCGTGGCCCCATAAGGGGGCTCCACCGACGGCCCCACTGGCACGGTCGACATGCGGTTCCCCGCCCATGCTTCGGCACACCCCTCACACGCTTCGCGGCCCCATAGGGGAGCTCCACCGACGGCCCTAGTGGCACGGTCCACATGCGGTTCCCCTATTCCAGTACACCACTCACACGCTTCGTGGTCCCATGAGGGAGCTCCACCGACGGCCCCACTGGTACGGTCCACATGCGGTTCCCCGCCCATATGTCGGCACACCCCTCTCACGCTTCGTGGCCCTATAGGGGAGCTCCACCGACGGCCCCAGTGGCACGGTCCGCATGCGGTTCCCCGCCCATACTTCGGCACACCCCTCACATGCTTCGTGGCCCTATAGGGGAGCTCCACCGACGGCCCCAGTGGCACGGTCCACATGCGGTTCCCCGCCCACGCTTCGGCACACCCCTCACGCGCTTCGTGGCCCCATGGGGGAGCTCCACCAACGGCCCCACTGGCACGGTCCACATGCGGCTCCCCGCCCATACTTCGGCACACTCCTCACGCGCTTCGCGGCCCCATAAGGGAGCTCTACCGAACCCCCCAACGGTACGATCCACATGCCGTTCCCTGCCCATATTTCGGCACACCCCTCACACGCTTCGTGGCCCTATAGGGGAACTCCACCGAAGGAGGCCACCGCTGCACGGTCCACATGCGGTTCCCGCCCATCTTTCGGCACGCCCCTCACGCGCTTCGTGGCCCTATAAGGGAACTCCACCGAAGCGGTACCCACAGCGTGGTACCCACCACTGCCAATGGTTGGACTTTTCGTCCGGAGAGCTGCTTTTTTAGTCAATCAAATCACATGCGCACTTCTCGTGCTTACGTTTAAGTCGGGTGTGTCTCTCTACAACAACATGATTCAAACAGAAAGTTTGAAAAATCATCGGGTACCAATACTCTTGTATTCCCAACCATCCTGTGGTGTTGGGTCCTTGTGTTGAAAAGAAAGCGCCCCGCGTTCTCCTTGCGTCCTTCCTTCCTTCCTTCCTTCCTTCCTCCTCCCTTCCGCCCTCCCCCATCATCATCGTCATCACCCGTTTCAGCACACCCCTCACACGTTTCGTGGCCCCATGGGGGTCCCCACCGAAGGCCCCAGTGGGACCGTTCGCATGCGTCATCCACCACCCAGCACACCGCCTCGTGGCCCCATAGGGAACTCCACTGAAAGCCCTAGTGGGACCGCCCGCATGCGTCATCCACCACCCCTCGCAGCATTTCGTGGCTCCATGGGGACCTCCGCCGAAGGCTCCAATGGGACCGACCGCATGCGTCATCCACCACCCAACACACCGCCTCGTGGCCCCATAGGGAGCTCCACTGAAAGCCCCAGTGGGACCGCCCGCATGCGTCATCCACCACCCCTCGCAGCACTTCGTGGCTCCATGGGGACCTCCGCCGAAGGCTCCACTGGGACCGACCGCGTGCGTCATCCACCACCCAGTGCAGCGTTCCGTGGCCCCATAGATGGCTCCACCGAAGGCTCCAGTGGGACCGCCCGCATGCGTCATACACTTCCCAATGCAGCACTTCGTGACCCCATAGGGGCCCCACCGAAAGCCTCACTGGGACCGCCCGCGTGCGTCACCCACCACCCAGTACAGCATTTCGTGGCCCCACTGGAAGCGCCACCGAAGGCCCCAGTGGAACCGCCCGCATGCGTCATCCACCACCCAGTACAGCGCTCCGTGGACCCACAGGGAACTCCCACCGAAGGCTCCAGTTGGACCGCCCGCGTGTTCGCGGCCCCATAGAAGGCTCCACGAGGCCCCAGTGGGACCGCCCGCGTGCGTCATCCACCACACAGCGCAACGCTTCGTGGCCCCATGGGGGGCCCCACTGAGGGCCCCAGCGAGACCGCCTGCATGCGTCATCCACCACCCAATACAGCGTTTCGTGCCACCACAGGGAGCTCCACCTAAGGTCTCCATGGCGGACCTCGCCTGGCGGCCCAGTTGCGGAATTCGCATGGCGGCGACTTTCGATTTTCTGAAGTTTTTCGTCGTACTCGATGTCTTGAGGCCGCTTTCGGGCCGCGCATCCCGGGCGGGAGCCAGCCTGCTCGCTCTCTCTGCTCCGCGCAGTGGACGACCCGCGCGCGGGTCGCTGGGACCCGTTCGGGGAGACCAGCGCGCGTCGCGGGGACTCCGTGCGGCGCCGCGCCCGCAGCCTTGGACGTGGGCGCGCACGGGCAAAGAGGGAGAAGAAAAACGGGAAGGAAACGGGCGCGATCCTCGTGAGAGGCATGCCGACATGGGCTTAGATATTTATGCACGTAGACTCACGCGCGCGCAGACTCATCCGCAATCAGACTCACTCGCTCTCAATCTCTCGCACACATCGCTCGCGTTGTATGCCCCGCCACGTATGTCGGCGCGCCCCTCACACGGTTCGTGGCCCCATAGGGAGCGCGGGTGAAGATGATATTCATAATTGCGGTATCCACAACTGCATATGGTCGGATCTTTCGCCATGTTATTTTTCATTATATTTAATGATTGTTTGAATATTTTCGTTTTTCGTCCAAAATCCGCCTGCGGGAGGACATGCCCGACCTAAGCTTACTCCGTCCGCAAAGACCCACAGAACCCTCTCCTGGGGTCCTCCCCGCGGCCCGCTCATTCCGACGGCCCGAATGCTCTGGCTGCGGACTGGGTGATGGCTGCCCGCCATTTTGCCTCCGAAGCAATCACGTCTTCGCACGGGAGGCTTCCAGACGCCTCCGGACGCGGTGTTGGACCTTTTTTGGAGGCCCTCCTGGGCTGTCCTGGGGGCCCTTTGGGACGCCTTGTTGGGCTAATATGGCCCGGTGTTGGGGCAGTTTTGGGCCATCCTGACGCCTCCTAAAGCCCTCTTCGAGTCATGTTGAATCAAAACCCAAACAAACGAACAACCTTCAAACAACATGAGGATTGGGACGATGTTAACAGTCTCGGGCTTAAATTTCCACATCTTCGAGGTCTCCTGGAGCCTTAAAGCATCTTGAAGCTATCTTGGACCGTCTGGCCAGCTGCCTGGACCCCTCTTGCGCCGTCCAGGACGCCCCCAGGTGCACCCCTGGAAGGTCTCGTGACTGGTCTATTTTGGTGTGCTCAAGCCCCTTTTGCCCCTCAATCTGTCTCTTGTGGTTTCGTCCGCCGTTTCGGACACCTTCGGGTGCTCTTTCGAACTCTTGTTTGAGGCCTATTGCGGCCCTAGTGGCCGGCTCTTGGAGGTTTTCTGGCCCTCTGGGGCCGTGTTGGCTGCCTCTTTGCGTGGCCCTCCTGCTTCTACCATGCTTCTCAAAATCTGTTCACGGTTATCCCACCCAGCTGTTCTTGCGTCACAGCGACCACCTTCAAAAAAAAGCGGGCCGCCAATGTCTGTCCCCTCAGGGGCTTTGAACCAGTCATCATGGTCGTCGTCGAGGTCGTCGTCGTCGTCGTCGTCGTCGCCGCAGCCGCCGCCGCCGCCGCTGCCGCCGCAGCCGGCGCTACTCTTGACTCCCGCCAGCACTGTGGGCGTAGGTGATTTGGAGCACTTCCTCTTCCAAGAAGATGGCCCAAGACGGCTCCAAAAGCGCCTCAGAGAGCCCAAGATGACCTCCAAGGTGGCTCGAGATAGCCCAAGATGCCTCAAGATGGCTACCAAGATGCTCCAAGAGGCCCCAAGAACCCTCCAAGACAGCTCCAGGTGGCCACGGAGCCTCCCCAGGAGGCCGCCAAGAGGCCAACGTCTTTCAAACACCTACAATGAATCACTGTTTTTTGCGATCCCGACTTTTCGCTGCCGATGGCCTTCCGATGTCTCAGGATGGCTTCAAGAAGATGGCCCAAGAAGGGCCAGAGGCCTACAAGATGGCCACAAGAGCGCCCAAGAGCGCTCCAAAGCGCCCCAAGAGCGCCTCAAGAGGCGAATTGTTGGAATCTCCCCTCCTTTTTGATCGATGTCTTCCACTATGGCTCCAAGAGTGCCCCTAAAGCCCCCAAGAACACCCAAAGAGGGCCTCAAGAGGCGCCTAGACGGCCACAAGACGAGCCCAAAAGACACCCCGCAGAGGCCTCACGAGGATCCGCAAGGCACCCAAGACGCTCAAAGACTGCCCTGGGCCGGCCAAGATGCACCCCAGACGCCCCAAGAGGCCTACAACAAGCTTCCATGCGACATCCGAGGAGACTCCGAGAGGCATTAAGAAGCCTCTGGCTCTTCTGTTCGCCCTGTTTTTCTTCCTCCTCCTCTCCCTCCTTCTCCTCCTCCTCCTCCTCCTCCTCCGCTTACTTCTCCTCCTCCATCGTCTCCTATCTTTCTGCTCGCCTTCCTCCTCATCCTCCTCCTCTTCCTCTTCCGTCTCCTCCTTCTCCTCCTCCTCCTCCTCCTCCTCCTGCTCCTCCTCATCTGCAAATTCATCATCCCTCTCCCTCCTCCAACTTCTATACCTCCTCCTTCTCCTCCTCCTCCTCCCCCTCCTCCTCCCTCGGACGATGACGGCTGTCCCTCTCGTTGCTCCTACACTTCCCTGATCGTCTCAACTCGCCTTGGGGGCGGTTTTGGATGGGCTGGTGGGGATACTCGAAGCGCCAAAAATCCCCTCCTCCTCTGCTCCCTCTTCCTTACCATTTCCCTCACAAACCCCTCACCACCACATCAACCCTCCCAAAACATCGCTTGCATTCCTCCCCCCTCCTCGACCACCTCCTCCTCCAGCTGCTGCCGATCCTGCCGGCACTCCTGCTCCTCAACCACCCTTTCCCCCACATCCTCCTGCACCTCCTCTTTTTCTTCCTCCTCCGCCTCGTCCTCCTCTGCTCCTCCTTCGGATATTCCCCCTGCCGCTCCCCCGTTTTCAATTCTCGCCTCCGCTTCCGCCTGCATCTCCTAGGCCTCCTCCGTTCTGCCAGCACCTCGTCATCCCCGCCTCCTCCGCCTCCTCTGGATGCTCCTCCTTACCCTCTTCAGCTTCGATCTGTGGGCGATCGAATTCTTCCATGGCAGAAGCGACCAAACACCCCCAAAATGGGGCGGCAATATCTGCCCCCTCGGGGGCGTTCACTTGAAGAAACTTTCATTCACCAGGAAACCCTGTCTCAAGGCGGCAGGAAGTCCTTGATCCAGTCGAACCACCCTGGGGGAAGACACTTTCCAGCCGCCCTGGGACAGCGTCATCGATGACAGACAAGATATGGTATACCGTTCTTCGCCCGCTAGGGACCAAAACGCTCGAGCGTCGCCCTCCACCCGTGAGACGACCGCGCTTGCTGCGCCATCTCCTCCGTCGCGAACTCTCTGACGGTTGGTGGCGAGCACAAGTGGGTAGCGCGAGGGGGCCGCCTTCTGCACGGTGGGGGGGGGGACAACTTTGAAGGATGAGGCCTTCCTAGAAAGGCCCAAGAATTTAGACGCTGGGAAGTGGGGAAACAACAAGGTACCGGTACCGCTACTCCCCAGACCTCTCCTGGTGTGTGTTCTGCTCAGAATTTCGAAGCGAACACAGCGGTGGCGACGAGGGCTTCCCAGGAGGCCCAAAAAGACGGAAACGAGGCAAGAGCTCAGTATCGGTACCATTTGCTCCTCTGAAGTGGGCTTCTGAGCCCTCCCCCGCCTTACTGGAATGCGACCTTTTTTTACATTAGTGTTCACAGTTTTACCGGACTCAGCAACGCGAACACACTCACCAAGCAACTGCAAGCTCACGCAAGCCTGAGCGGAGGCGTGGCGAACGACCACAGGCACGAGGCCGGGCAGACCAACGCAACACGCAGGAGGAGGAGGAGAGAGAGAAAGGGCCAGGAGGAGGAGAAGGAGTGGGGGGCGCCGAACGCGCTGCGCTTGCAAGAGCACCCCTCTCGCGCTCTCCCCGTGTGCGCGCCGCCAAGGAAGGACTCCACGGTGTGGCCCAGCTTCTCCTGCGCCGCCCCGAGCCGCGTCAGCTCCTGCCCCGCCCACTGCGACAGGAGGGCGCCAGCCGCGCCTGGGGTGCTGCCACGCGTCTCCTGGGCGGCACGCGCGAAGTGTAGGTCGGGCGGGTTTTGTGAGGAACAGTGAAAAATAGTCCAAAAAACAAATTCAAGGATGATCAACATATTGTCAACAAATCGTTCCCTGGCTATTTGTTGGACTATTTTTTGAATATTCCTCCTGTAGAGGGAGCTGCAGGACTTCACACAAGGCAGAGGTCTCCCCAAGGGGGTTCGAGCAGATGGGGTCGGAGGATCGCGCCGCATGGCCGATGCATCGGCGATGTCGGCGTGAAGAAAATCGGGCTCAACCTCGAGCCGCATCGCCGTTGCATCGGCGATGCGGCGCGACCCTCCGACCCCATTTGCTCTGACCGTACCTGGGAGGCCTAGAACTTAGGTGGTTCTAAGAAGGCAACGTCCTTCTTGGAAGCCCTTTCGGCTTCCAATCGGTCCTCTTTTACAAGCCCCCTGGGCCCTTCTAGGAAAGTCCCGTAATATAAGGCGCCCCCCCACCTTCTTAGAAGGCCGCCCCCCTCGTGCCACCCCCTTCCCAGACATCCGACGTCGTGATCTCTCCGCAGCAGGACCCACCAAGAAATCAGAGACCCGCTCCCGGGGACCAGCTTTCCATCCCGCCTCGTTTCCTGACGGCCCTGGAGCCCGGAGCCCTTGGAGGCCGAACGCGAGCAGACACCTTCCGTCGCGACTGCTTTCGCACGCCACGAGGGGGTCAGGGCTGGTATGTGCGTGTCGCCATTCTCCGCCGCGGCCTCGTGGACCGCCCGCAGCCGCTCGACCTCCCGCTCCAGCCTTGGCGGGCGGGAAACACCTCCGCATCCTTCCGTCCTCCCTTGTGCGAGGCGGGAGTTTATCCACATGCACCGCATGGAAACCAACGTCCTGGTGCCCCAACGGGCGGTGGATATGGATATGGATATGGATATATATATATATATATATATATATATATGTTGGCCCATGAAATGTTCATATACACCGCCTGCCGAGACCACGGTAGCAACGGCGTCCGCTCTGGCCACTGCCCGCTCCCAAGCGAAAGGCGAATGGGGGCGGCCCGCAGGCCCCTCAGAGACACAACGGCCCACAGAGGGCGGGGTGCCCGCAGACTCCATGCGGATCTCCCCAAGGCTCAAGCAGAAGTCCAAGCTGCAAGTGAACGGCCAGTGCATTCAGAGAGTTCGGAACAACTAGCCGCAGCACCGTGAGCGTGGAGATGTCTCCCCTTCCCCGTGGCTACTCCAAATCTCACAATAGCGGGGGGCGGGTCAACAAAAAAACGTTTGACAGCGCGTCTGGGACCCCCTGAAGCGCGGTGCAGCAACGCGCCCACCATCGAGACCACCAAACAATCTTGTGTGACGAGGCCCCTTGGATACCCGCCAAAAAAAACCTCCTTGTAATCTCGAGCGCGAAAGATACCCGTACCCTTACCCAGACGGGGTGGCAAGGGGCCCTCGGGGCATCACCCCCCCTGGGTCCGGGTCGGCTCCCGAAACCACCATACATACCCGTACCTAGACGGGGTGACCCAACCACCACCCCAGCTAGGTCTGGGTATGTATGGTTGTTTCGGGCACCGACCCGTACCCAGACGAGGTGGCGGCAAGGCCGAAAACGCTCTAGCGGGCGGCCCTTTTCACCCCAGCTGACCCCGGGTCCGGGTATGTTTTGGGCTAGTGATGTAAGTCCCGGGGGGGGTCTGCATCTTTCCCGCGAGCAAGGGGGCCCTGCTGTCCGCGCGAGGCAGTTTGAAGGCAGATTTCAAATCAGATTGCGCGGCGCGCTTGCCTCGGCAAGCAACTTGCCGCGACGCCAGGCGCTGCTCGGACGGCACTGCCCGCGTCGCAGTGCACTGGCCCCCTCGGCGAGATCTCATAATAATGCGGAGGGGGCCCCTCCACATTATCATGATATCTGGAGTAACCCCAAAAGGTCTTTAATAAACCGCCGGGTAATGGGAAAATCATTTTTGTTTGCCGGCTTATTGACGGACTGGGACCCCGACAATAGCTGGGAATCAATTATTCTCGTCGGCGGATGCATGAGAGGTCATGAGAAGTGCTCAAAAGTCCCATCGCTCAACGCCTGGCGGCCTCCTCCTCCTCCTCCTCCTCCGAGAGGACGAGTTTCTACTTCCCGCCGAAAGCTTAGGGAGCGGGGGTTGCATCATTAAAGACCCTCTGCGGTTAGTCGTTCCGCGGGGCCCGGGCCGCGAGCCCCGTGTGCACAGGCGGCGGCTCCGTGACGAATGCCCCGCAGAGAACGGGGCCCTGGGGCCGCGCCGCCGGGGGACCGCGCCTCGGCGCCCAGACCGCGAGGGCATCTCCGACGCATCCAGGAGGCCCCCCACGTTCCAAGGGGAGGAGAGGGAGGAAGGGAGGAGGAAGGAGGCGGGGGAGGAGGGGGAGGGAAGGAAGAGGAGCAGGAGGAGTAGGAGGAGAAACAAGTGTAAGCTCGAGACGCATCAACGATGTTGCGATGACCCCCCTTTCGACCTCTTCTTCTTCTTCTTCTTTTTCGCACCTCCCTGCAATAATCTTATTTCACTGCTGGAGAAGGTCCTGTTCTAACACATCAGCTTGAAAATCCTCAACCGCGCGAGAGCACAATTCCTGGAACTTCAAAGCCGCGGATCGACGTGGCTGTTGCGTCCTGACGCTGCTGAGTCGTTCCAGAACGCCATTCCTGGGACTTCGATGCCGCGAATCAGCGCGACTGCCTCGTCCTGGCACGCCTGCATCGCTCCAGAGCGCCGCGCCTTGGACTTTGCCATTCGAATCCTTGAGGCTGTCGCAAGCCCCCCAACAAAAACGAATGTGCGCGGCGCTCAGGCGACAGCCGCATTTTGACAAGGAGCCACCTTCCACCCTTGAAGCTGAATACAAGCTCACACACATGTTAACAGCGCTGAAGCGAGAATCGCATCCACCCTCCATCTGCAAAGCTGCTGCAAACGTTTAAGACACGTGTGCGCGATGCGAAGGCGAGAGCCACATTTTGAACATGGCACCTCTCCATCCTTGAAACTGTGGCAGAATTGTGAGAGAGATGTGCTCGGCGCTCATGCAAAAACCTCACTTTGAAAACCATCCGCCCTCCGTTCGTGAAACTGCTGCAAGCCTTTAAAGCGAATTCACGCGGCGCTGAAGGAGGAGGGGGAGGAAGGAGAGGAGGAGATGAGGAGGGAGGAGGAGGTGAGGAGGGAAGAGGGTGGATGAAATAGGAGAGAGGAGGGAGGGAGGAGGGAGGGAGGGAGGGAGGGGGAGGAGGATCGATCCCCAGACGACCCCTATGACTGCAGAGGAGGCGCGGATAAGAACACGCCCGTCCCTGGTGAGCGCCTGCCGATGCTCAGGGCGCGCTGCTGCGCTTCTTCCGCCAGCAGCCCTCGCAGCTCCAGCAGCGCCGCGCGCGCGGCGGCGCTCTCGACCCCCGCGAGGGCCGCGTCCAGCGCGGCCCCGCGCGGGGCAGCGGGACCTTGCGGCCAACCGGCAGAGAGCTCGCCCTGGAGCCCCGACTCGCCCACGGCCAGGCTGACGGCCCCGGGGCTGCCCGCGTACTCGGTCGGGGCCGTCGACATGGCGCAGTGGCGCCCCCCCCCCTCCCCTCTGCGAAAACACCTGCGCCAGCGGTTGCGGGACCAGAGGGGGATGCACCCCTCGAGTCAGGCAGGTCCTCGCAAACGGGAGCTCCGGCAAACGGGGACATGGGCGCGCCGAAGAGAACTGCAGCCGCAGAGAACTGCAGCCGCGGGTCGAGACGCTCGCCACTCTTCTTTCTCTCCCGCTGGAGCTGGCAAAGTCCTGGTATGCAATATCCTGGTTTACGGGGCACTGATCGAGACGCGATGCTCTGATCAAGCTTGGGCTCCTCCTCCTCCCCCTCCTGTTCCTGATCCCAGTTCTCCGCCTCGCCCGCTCGCCCTCCTGCCGAGTCCTGCCTCTTGTCACGCTCGTCCTGTGATACCTCGCCTCGCTCTTGGCGAGTTCGCGGGGTCGAGTGCAGCCAGGATGCCCCCGATTCCGAACCCAGACATCCGAGCTCCTGATCTGTTCCATAAAGAGCACCCAACTAGAAGACCCGACCCTTCTACCAGGCAGGACCGCCTCCGCCTCCCAGCGCCTGTCCTATCCTATCCGTCTTCTTCCTCCCCTCGTCTTCTTCATCCCTCCTCTCGTCTTCTTCATCCATCCTATCCTATCTGTCTTCTTCATCCCTGCTCCGCCTCCCAGTGTCTGTCCTATCCTGTCTGTCCTGCTCCTGCTCCAGCGCGCGCCGCCCAAGGGGGGGGCGTCGCCCATGGGGCCCGCCACCACCAGGCCGGCCATGGAGCCAGCGTAGGTGAACGCGGGCAGCGAGGCCCGGATGGAGTCCGAGAGGCCGAACACCCTGAGATGCGGCGCAGGAAGGGAGGGCCGTGACCTCCTCCTCCTCCTGCTCCTCCGGCTCCTCCGGCTCCTCCTCCTCCTCCTCCTCCTCCTCCTCCTCCTGCTCGTCCTGTTCCTCCTCCTCCTCCGCCCTCGTCCAAGCCCTGCGAGCCCCTTCTCTTCCTCCTCCTCCTCCTCTTTCTCCTCCTCCCTCCCCTCTCCACCTCGTTTTGGTACTACCTCCTCTCCCCTCCTTTTCCATGTCCTCCTTTTCCATCCCATGTCCTTACAAAGAAACCATCCTCATCTGACCACCAGAAATGCCAATGTGGCGGCCCAGTCATTTCGTTTCAAGGCATCTTGCCCGCTTATGACCCTGAAGTTTAACACTCAACAATTACACATGTGACTATCGCCTCGTGAACGCGTGTACATGTGTCTTACACGTTTCCACCAATTAGTTGCAGGGATGGAACACAGGACGTTGTAATACATTGGCCCCCGCCTTGGCGCCGCGCAAACTTGGCGTAAACGCTTCAAACAATTAATTACGCCGATGGCGCACAGGTCGTTTTTCAATGAGACTCTCGCTTTAGTGCCGCGCGAATTCGTCTTGAAAGCTTCCAAGAGCTACGTGGATGCTGCACGCATGGCTGTCAGAATGTGGTTTTCGCCTCAGCGCCGCGCGCGCAAAACAAATTGCAACACTCCCAAGCTCGTTTTCGCAATTTTGGACCTCCAGGGACTGGTACCTGCGCCCTGGGACAGTAAGAACGATCCACGACGAGACCTGGCCCTGGAAAGGTATTTCAAGGCTCCAGGGTTCACGGCCCAAAGATGCGTCCGGAGAGCCGACCCCCCACAGCGCGAGTTGCGAATGCGTCGCCCGTGCGTCGGCCGCCGAAGGGGCCGTCTGGGCCCACAGGAGACACGCGCGGCCGCGCTCGAAGCCCTGCCAACCGCGCGCGACGCATGCATGCATCCTGTGACACGCGCGCGACGCACCCCCGACCGCGCGCGCCACGGATCCCCAACCGCGCGCCGCACCACACCCCGCGCGATGCGCGACGAACGCGCGACGTACGCGCGTTGCTCGCGCGACACACGCGCAACGCACGCGCGACGCTCGCGCGACGGACGCGCGACGGACGCAGGCCGACGCACGGGGAGGGGTACACCGTCGGGCCTTGATGCTCAGTGCCAACGCTGCCAAGCAATGCCAAACAAACCCATCCGTCGAATACGCTTCATCATTGTCGGCCTCCGGGGGCCATCTCACCCAGACATCCAACATATTGAAATCAATGCACCCGGCACGACCCCAATTCTCCGGCTTTCTATAGCGAATCAGATCAGCTCTGAACATTGCAAAGCGTTGCTTGGCGTTGCCTTGAACCTTTACTGGGCATTGCAAGACATTTCTTGGCATTGCTTTGAATTGCGTGGCGTTGCTTGGCGTTGCTTGGCATGTCTTGGCATTGTTTTGCATTACTTGCGCATAGCTTTGTATTGGTTGGAATCGTTGATTGTCTTTGCTCTGCTTTCTTAGCATTGCTTGGCATTTCTTGGCAATGAGCAGTATTGCTTTGCGTTGGTTGGCGTTGCTTAGCGTTGCTTGGCATTGCTTGGCATTGCCTGGCGCTGCTTGGCATTGCACGGGCAAACCCTAGCAACGCAGGGGGCGAAAGGACCTCTCACCCCAAGTAAGCCCATAGGCACATCCTTGGGGAACAATTTGGCAAGGACGTACCAACAAAAACACATCGGGGACGAAACACCAGGTCCGGAGGGGATCGCGCACAAAAGCACGCCATGGGAGGTCAAAGAAGGGACTGCCCAGAACAGTCCATCAACTGCCATCGATCGCTGTATCGCCTCCCGCGACTTAGTACACGCAGTACAGAAATCAGACAGGGGAACATAAATCCTTGGAGCATGGAGGAAGAGGCACACAGAAGGGGGGAGAAAAGGGAGGTGAGGAACGCAACTGACCTTCAAAATCTGGAATCTCCCCAGAAACTTCCTTGAGCCCCCCAACCCGCAAATCTGATGTCTTGTTGCTTCCAACACGGGAACCTCAAAAGCCCCGGACCATTCATCAGGGCTGGTTCTGCATCCGGAATAATGGGTTCACGATGCCGGAACCCTGTGAGGGCTCCCCGAGGCCGGAAGAATATGAAACAAACGCCGGCTTGATTTGCTCAAGGCGTTGGATGTCTGGGAGAGTCTCCACGAAGTAAGGTGGTATGTCGCTGAACAATATATGCGACCGCATGCAGCCCGAGGCGTTAGCGAAACGCTTTAAACGCAATGGAGTGTGGGGACAAAGTGGCAGAGAGAAAACATGAAAATAACGCGCTGAACATTAATGAATGTCGCAAACATGCTTAATACTGGGCGCGCGCACGGATAACAATAATGTTGATGCTGATGATAACGGTGATGATGGTGATGATGGTGTTGATGATGACGCTGTACATGTAGACGATGCTTATGATGATGATGATGATGATGATGATGATGATGATGATGATGATGATGATGATGATGATGATGATGATGAGGATGATGACGGTAATCATGATGATGAATATTATTATGATGATGATCAACGCGGATCCAACGGAAGCCAACTCCAACCAAAGCGGCACCAAAAAACGACCGCGCCGGATGATGCTCTGAGCGTGGTATATAATCGCGACCCTCGGGTGGCCCTGTAAGGAAACCTCTTTGGCTCTATGGAGCACCGTGTGCAGTGGCTAGGCGGTAGAGCCCTGCGCGAGGGGCGATGCCAAGCTTGCTAGCTGAGCAGTTCGGGGTAGGCGCGGGCCAGCAGTCGACGAACGCCAAACATGGCGAGCAAGCGAACACATGGCGCAACTCAGCGCTAGGGCGGCCACAGCAAAAGCAGCGATGCTCGACAGTTTCATGTATCCGCTTTGTGCTAAACCACCCATGCATCCAAGTGCGGAGCACTAGACGCGAGCGCGACCTGGTCGCGGGAGAGCACGGCGTGAAGCTGAGCCAACCTCGGGGGCGTCAGAGGACAACGATTGCGCGCCCACAAAACTACTCCGCCGAGCCAACAGCAAAGCGTGCCAATCAACATCCCTCCATTCCTTGAACGTCGCGTCCAAGACGGCTCGTTGGGCGCTGGAACCCGGCAGCCGGCCGGGGGCCGAGGCGGCGCGCGCGGAAGCCACATGGCCGCGATCGCGAAGGTGGCGCTCAGGATGCACCGACGCAGCGCGTTCAAGACTCGAGGCAAGGGGCGGCGCGTGCCGCCGCGGCTGGGCGAGCGTGCCCCGCGCGATCCTTAAGGGCATCATTGGCAAGACCTCCTTTCGGGGAGACGTAAGACTCGGGTACGGGGGACCATTAATAAAAATGACGAGACCCAATCTAAAATTTGACGCGGGCCCCCGCTGCAGACATCCCACGAAACTGGGACCGTCAAAATCCAGGACGCGCTCGTCAAAAAAAAGTCGGCAAACCCGAGTTCCGGCTTACTCGAGTCTTCGTTTCCTCGATCCTTGATTAGGGAACGGGTCTGCGCGGGCAGCAGGCTGTCCAGTGACCATCGCGGCACGCGGCGCGACGACTTGGGGCGCGTAGCTCAGGACAGGGAGGACTCTGATGTTATTTTCAATGAAGTTCAGGGTCGGATTCCGGCCAAGCAGCACGCCGAGAAATTGAGCAAATGGCTCGATGCGAATGGCGCGTCATGCAGGGGCGCGCCTCTTAAGCCGCTCCCGAAACACCTCCGCGAGCACAGGCGTGCATCTCGAGCTCGTGGGCGACGGCGCGCATTTCCTGAACTTCTCTGCGAGACCTGTCGCGCGACGAACCAGGTCACGCAGGTGCTGGGTTGGAGTGGTTGCCGTGAGCTCCCACAGGGGAATGCTGACGTCGTCCGCGCAGTGCCTGAAGGCCCCCTCGCGCGCGACCGCGGCGCGACTCCCAGGCGCGGGGGGGTCGGTGCCAAGTGCGCAGAAAGACGAGCTGAGCGGGTCGCCCTGGAGCACGCTGGCGCCGCGGAGGAAGCTCGGGGCCTGGAAGCCGTGCGCGCTGATCTCGATCGCAACGATGGCCACCTGGGTTGTTGCTCGCGAATTATTTCCACTTCCCATCGTCGCCCTCGCACTACGGTAGGATCAACATCCTTTGGCGATAGATTACGGAACGCCCAATGGATCTCCAAACGGGCGGCGTCAAACAATTTTTCTGCGATCGCAAACTGGTGCGAAAGATCTTGAAGTTGCGCTTTGAGATCTTCATGACCTTCTCGAGCTGTGTGAGTTTGGAGGAAACTGTGGCAACCCGGGCCGCTTGCGCCGCAAACTGCTCCTGTTGCGTCTCGTCCTGCTTCGCAGTGGCGGCGGCCATAGCGTGGTCTAGGCCTTCTTGGAATGGGAGTTTACTGCAGCTTTGGCGGCCTGGGCGGCCACATCACGGATCGCCTCCTTCGCAGTGTTCTGATCGTCTTGACGGAGAGAGAGAGAGAGAGAGAAAGAGAGAGAGCGAGAGAGTGAGAGATAGAGGGAGACAGAGCGAGAGAGAGAGAGAGAAAGAGAGCGAGAGAGAGAGAGAGAAAGAGACTGGCGAACGAGCTCGAAGGAACACTCGGCCACCCTTCCTTCGAAAACGATGAGAATGATGATAGTGGTGATGATGACGATGATGATGAAACAAACTGACGGCGAAGAAAATCTTCAACCATTGTGACTTCGGCCATGCGCTCGCTCTGAAAACTGAAAGCCGGGCTACCAAGGAGGACCGCACTAAACACAATGGACACAACGCCCGACGCCACTGAATCAATCTTCCGCACGCGCTGAGGCGAGCTGTAAATGACTAGCTTCGGCAGCAACTTTAAACAGATAATCCAAAAAAGGTCTTCAATACCCTCCGCCAATAATGGGAAAATGACTATTGTCGCCGGCTTATTGACGGATTGGAGCACTAAAAATACTTGAAAAATCGCCACGGTGCCCGTGGGCACGGAGTGGGCGTGTCCTCAGGTCCTGTGCCTACTCCCTTAAGCCTCAATCCTCACCCCTGCGGGGCCCGGGGCCCGAATTCACTCGTCTCCTGGGTCTTCCCGCGCGAAAAAGCGGAAGGGCGCACATCGGGAACCCTAGAATTGACCAAGACATCCGACGTCGTGAGTCTGCTCGCAAAATGGCTCCCCTGAGGCCTGGCATCCTTCCTGGAAACCAGCTTTTCACCCCGAGCCGTTCTTCGATGGAGACCCCAGGGCCTGCCAAAGACCCCAGAAGCCGAAAACTGCCAAACACCATCTGTCGCAATTTGTTCGTGACGCGAGCCCCGATGGGCCAAACGACTTGTCTCCAATCCTGTGGGGGTCCAATATCCAGATGAGTCGAGGTGAGTCCAGGAAGTTGATAGAAAATGAATCCAGACAGAAGCCGAGGCAAATCCAAACACATCTGCAAGATGATCCAGAGCTCCTCCGTGAAATCCGGAGCGAAGCCTGGACGCGCCAGCGCGAGTCGAGGGGCAGGAGAAGTCGTTAAGCCCTAAATGAGCGAGGGAGTCAGGGGAGACACGCCGCGCGGCTCCTGGCGATGGCCGAGTGGAGCGGCGCCACGGCGCCCATCTCCATGCTCTCGCATAGCGACACGCCCCCCACGCAGGCAACGACTGGGCACGCGGCTGGGGGTGCTCGGTGGGCGCGCACACGCTGGTATGGATTAGGATTCAGTCGGGCATGATCATGTCCCCCTGCGGGCGGATTTCGGACGAAAAAGAACAAGTAACCAAACAATGCTCAAATATAGTCCACAAATGATAGAAACATCGTCCCCAAACTGTTATTTTAAACTACTCTTGAATTTTCCTCCTGCAGAGAGACAGGCCCGACAGAAGACTAGGGATCCGTGGGTCTGCCGCGTGGGTGCCGGATCCGCGGATCGTCGCCCCCGAAGCATGGCGCCCGTGCCGCCCGATTTGGCGACGGAGCGCGCCGATCTGGCATGGAAACGGGACCTGTCGCTGATCCACGCGCCGTCGTTCCGTTCCCTCGACGGTGGGCGGGAGGGAGTGTGGGGGGTGGGGAGGGATGTGGTCCTCCCCCTCATCTTCGCCAGGCGGCCGGCGCCTCGGAAAAGGCAGAGGCGCCAGGCTTGTCGCCAGCTTTAGGCAGAGGGATATCGTCACGTGATGCGAAGTCCCCTCCCCCCACCTGATCCTCCTCCTCTTCCTCCCCTTTCTTCTTCTTCTTCTCCTCCTCCTCCTCCTCCTCCTCCGCGTCCTCCTCCTCATCGTCTTCCTCCTCCTCCTCCTCCGCGTCCTCCTCCTCGTCCTCCTCCTCCAACTCCTCCTCAGATTCGCATCGCGTGACGCATCCAAGTCGCCGAAGCTTTGGCAGCTGGAGGCCGCTTTCGGGCTTCGGGCCCCGGGGTTGTCAGAAGCACACAACTCGGGACGGAAAGCGGGCCCTGGAGGAGGAAGAGGAGGAGGAGGAGGAGGAGGAAGAGGAGGAAGAGGAGGAGGCCTCCTCCACATCGTCGCACGAGTGGGTGGCGAGGCGACTTGCTTATTAGAAGCCTCCAGGCACTTCTAAACATTACTCTGCCTTCCAACACGCCACCCATTCTCCCAGAAGGTCACATCCTCGCGCGGCCTCCTTCTGCGCGCCGCCGATTTGTCCAGCTCATCTTCCTCGCCCTTTGTTCTTCCTCCCCACATCCCCCTCACTTCTCCCTCCTCGTCCTCCTCCTCCTCGTCCTCATCCTCCTGCGACTCCCTTCTGTCTCCTCGTCCTCTTCCTCCTTCTCCTGCTCCTTCTCCTCGTCTTCCTCCCTCCTCGTCCCCCGGTTTCTCCCTTCTCCCTCCTCGTCCTTCTCCTCCTCCTCGTCCTCCGCCTCACTCCTTCGTAGCCGTCTTGGCTCAAGACGTCTTTTGCTCTTGTCAGAGCACGTGCACTGCTGATCCGCGGCAGTCTCCGCGCCCGTGATCTGCTGATTTGCGGATGGGCTGCGCGCTGGCGCTCCGCCCAGAGTGTCCAGTGAGCTCCTGCGGGAGCAACCTCCGTGCCACGGGCGTGGCGTCGCGGAGCGCCCCGGCACAGGAAGCGTTCGTGGCACGGTGATGGTGGAAGCGGCCAGCGTCGCGCACTGCGACGTCGGCAACGGTACTCGGTGTGCGTGGAGGGCGGCCACGGGGAATGTGAGGAGCACGGGGATCGGAAGTGCAGCAGGTGCGGTGGTCAATCTCGTGATGGTGATCATGGTGGGCGAGCAACGACATATGTACATGTACGCCCTCCGCGGTCTTGCCTGCACGAACGTCCGCGTTGACAAGCACTCCAGGGGAAGCTAACCGCGTACGTGTACATATGTTGCTGGCCTCTGACATGGTGATGGTTCGCCCAAGTCTTCTTGCCGTGCCCATGATGATGACCTTGCTGCGCTGGCTCCGTAATTGAAAGCGTTGGCCACGAATTTCCGATAGAACACCCTGCAATTGTATCGTAGATGGGGCGCGGGGCGGGTCGTGGGTGTTTCCCAGTGACTGTGGGTCGCGGATGGGTCGCAAGCGGGTCGCGAGCGGGTAACGGGCCTGGCCACACAATGGACGACGACAGCAACAATCACAACAAAAACAACAGCAGCAACAACAACATCAACAACAACAACACCAACACCAACACCAATACCAACTACAACACCAACAACAACAGCAACAACAACAACAACAGCAACAACAGCTTCAGCAACAACACCAACACCAACAACAACAGCACCAACAATACCACCACCACCACCACCAACAACAACAACTGCATTACAAACAACAACAATCATTCTACGACTGCTCGCTTTTACCAACTCGCGTGTCCTTCAGCACGTATATCCCAAGCCCTCGATAGCTGCCTTCTTCGTCTTCGATCGTGCCCTATTGGGGGTCGATCTTCCTGACCTGCAGCGTGTAGTTCGGAATTTCGTGCAGCTTTCAGGCAGGGGAAGGGAGGACGGATGGAAGGAAGGGACAGAGGGGAGGGATGAGGAAGAGAGAGAGAGAGAGAGAGAGTAGAAGGAGGGGGGGTTGTAGCAAAACGCAGATGGGCATATCGGGCGGGCAGACTCTAATGGGCGGGTCGGGAAGGTGGCCAGTTGCTGAAGCGTGCGTCCTGCATGAATCGCGAGGCAATTACGAACGATCGCGCGATTCCCAAAGAAATCGTGCGGAAAGCCACAGCGAGAGCGTGATCGCTGAGTGTCGAGGGCGCGGGGTTTGAATACATTGCGAGGAAGTCTCACGCGAGAGCACGATTTCTGAATACTTTGTGAGGAAATCCCGCACGAGAATACGTTTCTCAATCAAACTGTGAAGAAGTGTAAGGCGGGAGCCGTTGTTGTTTTAGCTCGGGGACCAGGGGAACAATCTGAGCCGCAACAATTTCCCTTGTAAAAACCAGGGTGCGAGCACAGGGGGAACACTCGTTTAATAGTGTTTATGTTTATCTGCTCGCGCGCCACTCACCACATATATCCCAAAACATCGACACCCACCCTCTTCGTCTTCGATCGTACCCTTCTGAGGAAATATCTCTCTTATCTGGCAACGTTTACGTCGTGCAGCCTTTAATGCAAGGGAAGAGGGGACGGACGGAAGGAAAGGACAAGGGGGAGGGAGGAGGATGGAACAAGAGAGAGATTAGCAAGAGGGGGGCTCGGAACAGAAACCACGTGGCAGAACCAAACGGGCAAATCGGGCGGGCAAACCTTAACGGGCGGGTCGAGAAGGCGGGCCCAAGCGGCCAGGTCGAGCAAACGGATTGCTGAACCGTGCGTTCTGCATGAATCGCGAGGCAGTCACGAACGATCGCGCGATTCCCAAAGAAATCGTGCGCACAGCCAAGGCGAGAGCGTGACCCCTGAGTGTCGAGGGCGCGGAGTTTGAATGCATTGCGAGGAGGTCCCACGCGAGAGCACGATTCCTGCATAAAGGATGCCCGCGCGAGAATACGATCCTCAAACAACTTTTGAGGAAGTATGGGGTGGGAACCGTTGTTGTTGTAGTGTGGGGGCCAGGGGCCCAATCTGAGCCGCAACGTTTCCCTTGAAAAGGAAGGCGCAAGCCCCGGGAGGAGCACTTTAATTGAAAAGCAGAAGGTGCCTCAGGGGGATCAATCACATCTACTGTTTAAAGCGAGAAATCAACAACACCACCAACAGCACCATCATCACCATCAACAACAACAACAGCAGCAGCACCAGCAACGACAATCAGTTCAAGAAGGTTCACTCACATCTTCTCGCGGACCATTCAACACGTCTATCCCGAACCCTCGATACCCGCCCTCCTTGTCTCTGATCGTGCCCCCTTGGGGGGTATTTTTCTTGCCTGCAACGTGCATT